TCTCTCTCTCTCTCTCTCTCTCTCTCTCTCTCTCTCTCTCTCTCTCTCTCTCTCTCTCTCTCTCTCTCTCTCTGTGTGTGTGTCTGTCTGTCTGTCTCTCACGTCCTATTATAAGGAGCCCTAGTCAATTTTTGTTCCACTTCACCGTCCTTCGACATGGCTATGCACTGTATCATTCTTACTCACTTACTCACATGCCTTCTGCTTACCAAGGCCAGGAATCCTAAGTAAACTGATCACCTCTTCGTCTCTTCTCCTTTCTTCTTGTGTTCCCCTTCCTCTCCTCTTTCCCTTCCTCGCTGTCCCGCCTATGGACGAGACGAGACGTGCTCCCTTTCCCTCCAAGTCGTCCTCGCGTTCTCTCTGCTTCGATCAGAGATACAGCCTTAGCATCTGCGAGTGCGAGTATTACACCCGGCACCGCTACTGCGGGCCCGTCTGCTATACGTTTGCTTGGGGTATTTGCTGGGGGTATTTGCTGGGGGTACTGCTCAACGGAGGGAGACTGCGCTGGCCCGGCCTGGCCTGGCCTGGCCTGGGCAGCCGTGTCCAGTCAAGTACGGGGACACCCTCTGTGGCTTTCTCGCTTCTCGCGCTGCTCGTCTCCGAGTAACCCCTCGCGCACGCGCTCGGCATTCCCGACGCTACGATCGTTCTAAGAACGCAGGAGCCTGGGGCGAGGTCTCATTAGCAAAGAGGATCGGATCGAATGCCTGAATGTGGACGTCTTTTACCCAGAGATGCAGGAAAGCAGTTCAATCTCGATTTCCTGCACCTTTCGACAACACGTCCAGATTCAGGCATTCGAGCCGATCCTCTTTGCTAGTGGGAACACGCCCCTGGTTGTGTTCGCTACAACGCAGCTATGCTCTTGATGCACGAACATAGCACCTGCGCGGACAGGTCCCAATACTAAATACGGTACCCTATAGCCCTAAATTGCCCCTGAGAGCAAGCGGCCAAGCTCAGTTTGTTAGGGATGCAAGCAGTGTTCGGAGGTCGTGGGTTCAAACCCCACTCGGCAGTTTGGCACTCTTGGTGCCAACCAACTGAGGCCCCCGTTCCATATTGGTATTGGTAGGGTCTTTGGCCATCACGGGTGTGTGTGTGTGTGTGTGTGGGTTGTGCGTGGTGTGTGGGAGAGTCCTGGCCGTAGACACTGTTGTTACTCTATGGGGGCGGGGGACATAGATGGGAGGCGCAGCTACTAGCCAAATGTTCAGCCTTTTCGTTAGCCAGCCCCCCCCACCGACGGCGCCACCCTACTCCCTCACCACAGGGCGGAGGGCAACATGTGTCCCCTTGTGAGAGGTAGCCTGTATACGCTTAGTAGTGGTGGCAGTTAGGTAGTGAAAGGTGATATCGAGAGAATAATATAGCTATAAAAAAAAACGAATGCCCCTCTGCTCTCTACCCTTGAGAAATATATCCCTAACGAGCCCCCCTATAATTGACCAGCCACAAGGGTGAAGGGGAAGGCAGCCCTC